TCGAAACAAACACTTTGTATACATTCTTATAGAAACGAGAATCATTACAAAGTTACATTTTCAAAATACTTTCAAAACACATCTCATAAACACATCTTTGAACTATTTTTCGAAACAAACACTTTGTATACATTCTTATAGAAACGAGAATCATTACAAAGTTACATTTTCAAAATACTTTCAAAAAACCACACACCACAAGCACATTCAAACAAAAGCAAGTGATCTAGCAAGTAACTAAGAGCCCATGGAAAACCATGGATGGAAAGGGTGCTAATATCTTCCCTTTTCATAATCTACCCCCCAAACTCAAGAAACAACCTCAAAGGTCTTTCCTGTGCTTTTTCACATTTCCTTTTGGATAAAAGAAAAGTCGGTGGCGACTCTTGCTATCCGCGACATTTACGATAAAACGCAAAACCCTCAAGTCAGTTCTCCCACCGTATCACAGTCTCTAACCACGACGATGAGAACGAAGACGCAAGTGAATCCATTGTGGTGTCCCAGCGATTGACACACAACCGACTCTGAATCTACAAGAATCACTTCTCCTGTTGTTTTTGCATCTCTTTCACTCTCCAAAATGGTTATGAACTATGGTAGATATGTAAAATAACAAAAAAAGTGGGTTTATAAAGGGGGTTGTCATAATAGGGCGCGTTCAGCCCGTGTAGAGGGCCCTCAACGCACTCTGTTGTGCTGAGAAAAACCAGTTATTGTTTTTACCATCACTCGAGAACCGTAACTCTGATTTACGCACGGTCAGAAGCATTGGAAAGCTTATGCAATGCTCTATGTTACAATGACAAAATAACATGTTTGAATAACTACAAAAATTGAGATAAAAAATAATCAATTGATACAATATTTACACAAACCGACAAAAACTACGCCATAATGCTAAAAACTACTTATTCACACTAAAGTTGAGGTTTTCACTAGTAAAACATATGAACCAAACCAATAAGTGTCAATTATTCACACTCAAAATAACTATAATTTGACACTTATCACTTGAATGCTTAAATTCAATCCGTTTAAAACGGTTACCAATCGACTTTATTATCCCTAGTATATGTACTACATCTATAAGTTTTGAATATTCACTTTTTATTATGTAGGTATCTCAAAGTTAGTACTAATTTTAATTGAGACTTCTCTAATAAATTTAATATGCGTTGTAGAGACTAGAAAACCAAATCTTATTTATTTAAATAATTTAAATTTAATATTTTTAATTAATTGAGTCAAACTAAATCGGAGTTTAAATCGACTCCTCACATGTTATTTGATTTATTATCACATGGAATGATAATTTTTAAAGTTAGTAATAACTTTGATTGAGACTTCTCTAATAAACCTAATATGTGTTGTAGAGACTAAAAAATCAAAATCTTATTTATTTAAATAATTTAAATTTAATGTTTTTAATTAATAGAATAAAGTTAAATCGGAGTTTAAACCGACTTCTCACATATTATTTGATTTATTATCACATGAAATGATAATTTTCAAAATTAGTACTAATTTTGATTGAGACTTTTCTAATAAGCCTAATATACATTATAGAGACTAGAAAATCAAAGTCTTATTTATTTAAATAATTTAAATTTAATGTTTTTAATTAATAGAGTCAAGTTAAATCGGAGTTTAAACCAACTCTTCACTTATTATTTGATTTATTATCACATGGACTGGAACGATAATTTTGAATTTTCTGTACTCAACATCAAACCATCTAAAAGAACCGACAAATTATTATGTCAATCCAATTTTAAAAAAGTATTTAGAATATTATAGTTATATAGTAATATATGATATTTTAACTATAAAGACATATTGATAAGACATCTAGTTCAACTTAAAATAATAAAAAAAGACCTATAAAGAGTGTCCTTTATTGAGACCTGTTTTTTCTTCTTCTATGTACCAATTCATTTACACTTGGCGATTTTGAATTAACAAAAGTTATTGTTTTAGAAGTATCCTTATGAATTTGATGGAGTTGATTGATCATGTAATATATTATCTAACTTTGTGTTCAATAACTATAACTATGTATATCATCCTATAATTATAACTGCATAGTCTTGGTGAATTAATCTCAAAAATGTAAATTTAATATTAAATATTATTATTTGTGAACCAGTTCAATTAAAAAATAATTATTAAAATGTAGTATAAATAAAATAATAGATTGTATATTTATAATTATTATTAGAGTAAAAATAGTTGAAATTGTTTAGAAATTGCCTTAATGGATTGCCTATTTTATTCCGCCTCTCACCACCATCAACATCTCCATCGCTCTGTCAAAGTTCACTCATCTTTCTCCCTTCACCGATTCAAACCGCTGATGAGCCACTTCGTATCGCCTCCGCACGTCCTTGGAATTGTTAAATCTTTGCTCATCTCTCTCAATTTGTCCATCTTGATCTCGTGTCATCCTCCGCCATGGAAGTACATCACTGTTACTCAACTCTCAATCTCGTCACCGTGTTTATTCTCATCCACGAATTCGTCTCTGAATTTAGTATAAATATGAATCACATAGTGTAAGCGAGGAAGAAGAGGAATATGCTTACTATTGTACCCCAAAATTTTCTCTCTCTTTTCTCAAGACACTTCTCACATAGATCTGCAAAAGTTCAAGCTTGCACAAGTATTGACTAGGTCAGGCTATCTCCTCAACACTGATACCTCAAAATTCGGTTTTGAGCTTGCACAAGAACAACTGGACTATTAATACTTCTAATGACGTTCATGGATCATTATGAACCTTCAAGAATGCTCATGTCAATTTTCAAGTTTTGTAGCACAAATTCTGCTCAGTCAATTGACCAAGTGACCAAAAATCAGTTGTACTGATGAAAAAGTCAACTGTAGCACTAAAAATCAAACTTTGACTTTTCTATCAACATTAAGTCTCAAAGATCAAAATTCATTAAGACATTCAAAAATATGAAACTTGATCATCAAGAAATCAAGAAAGTCAAAAGTCAATGGGAAAAGTCAAACTCTTCAAGACTTAGAAATTTTTCTAAGTGTTTTTATACATGATAATTTCATGTCTTCATGCCAATTTTTTATCATGATGCAAAATGATTCAAGGAAAACTTCCAACATGAAAGTTGTAGATCTCAACGAGATCTAAAACTTTGTAGGGCAGGACTTTTTCTAGAAATGCTTGGATTTTGAGTTATAAGTTCATGAAGTCATGGCATTTTTGAATAAACACTTAGAGAAATTTTCAGCAGTTTTGGTCAGGATTTTATCCCAACTTCTTGGCATTTTTTACATAATTCCAAGATGATTTTGTCAAAATGGCCAACATGAAAGTTATAGAGGATGTTTCAAGCTTTCCAAAACATCAAAGAGCATGAATTTATCATACTTGAGTTAGGAGATTCAAGGGCATGGAATTGGGCATCCATTCTTGAATTGCAAGTCATTTTAGTGAAGAACACATAACAAAACCCTTATGCTATGCTGCATAATCTTGTGTTGCAGGCCTTCTTGCTTGCAAATCTCATCATAATTTAATACTTACACCCACTCTTGAGCTATTACCCAAGTGTTTAAGCCATTATCCAAAAGATCTTTCCATTTATGGCATAAAGGCACCATTGCTATTATTGAAAAGCAAGCTTTATGTACAAAATTTGTCTTGAACCCATACCTTGTTTGTTTCTGATTTTACTCCACCTTAAATCATGGAAATCAGCCCCTCTAAACCAACAACTTTGGTACTTCATCTTGGGACCATGACATAACTTGATATTTGCAACCCAACCTAACCATAACTCCATAGTTTGTAAACCAAATAAGCTTGTTCACAAACCCTTTGCCTATAAATAGAGGGAGAATTTGCAAGAGAAAGAGGTCATAAAAATAGAGAAAAAAGCCAGAAGTTTTGTTGATAAACCCTTAAAATCTCATATTCACAAAAGCCATAACAGTCCACAAAACTTCCACTCTTGAGCTTTGAAATCCAAATCCTTGCACTCTACATACTTTACAAGTTTTGTCCAAACATCTAAGCACCCCACATACATCATATAAAAGTTGTTCAAACTCAAGAACAAGTTTCTGTAACATCTCTGTTTTCCAAGCTCAAGAACACTCAAGACAACAACTCAAGCTCAAGACACAAATCTCAGCTTCAAGGTAAGTCTCCTTGACTTTAAATTCTTCATTTCAAGCATCATTGGTTGATTCATCTTTGAAGATAAATGTAATAATCATTTCTCTTGAAGCTAACCTTTGTTTATCTTTCATTCTTATCATTTATGTGTTGATAACTAACCCATGTATGCAACAAAACAATGTTGAAGTGAAAAAATGACAGTATGAGTCGACACATACCTATATGAGTCGACACATCTTAGTGGAAAAACAGGTTATGAGTCGACACATAGCCTTATGGGTCGACACATACTGCTATACAGGCCCATAACAGATGAAAAAAGAGTGTATGAGTCGACACAAAGCACGTATGAGTCGACACATAACCTGTCTTTATAAATGAGATAATTCACATTTAAGTTGAATTAAACTCAATCATATATTTTTAACATGATATCAGAGATTCGTTTAAGATTCAATAGATCACATGCTAATCATGTTTATGCTATAGAACCTCGCGTCATTTATTTCCACTATGTCTCCTAAGAAAAATGTTAATTTGTATCCCTAAAGTATATATTAGAAATTAAAATTTAAATATAAATTTTGCCTCGTAAATTACGCATTGAATTTTTATTTTAAATTTAAAGTTAAATTTTTCCAATATAAAACTTTGTACTTTTTAATTAGCACAAAGTTACTTTAACAATCATTTTCTCAAAGAGCTAAAAAACGAACAATATGGAAATTTGAAATAAAGATTCATAACGTTCATTTCAGCTAAACAGACTCTTCTTCTTCATCTTCCCCCTCTTTCCAACATTTGAAAATCTCTCTCTCTCTCTCTCTCTCTCTCTCTCTCTCTCTCTCTAACAATGAGCATGAAGCAAAAGAACAACAACAACCCAGATACTGGTTTCTTCGGAACCTTCTCTTCCACTTCCATCAAAAACCTTCTTCCAATTTCTTCCTTCCGCAAACCCAAATCTAATCTCGAGAACATTCCTCCAATTCATTCCAACATACCCATCACCCATCATCAATCTCAACCAAACCCTAAACCCCAATTTTCTCACAACAACCCACATGTCAAGGCAAGTTCATATTCTTTCTTTCATTTTTCAGTGTTTAACCTTTACTAATCTGTGTTGTTTTGGAACAGGTTGTCGTGAGAATTAAACCTCATGTAAAAGAAGCCGATTGCATAATTAACAAGGTTTCTTCCAATGCCTTGCGTGTTGGGGATAGACAGTTCAAATTTGATCAAGTTTTTTATGCTAACTCCAATCAGGTAGTTTTTCTTTAGATCTTCATTAATTTTACATGATTTCAATAAAGGGTAATTGGAAATGTTATTTGACTTTTCTCTTAGAATGAAGAAATATATGTAATTTTACTTATATGGTTGCTTAATATGCATACAAGAGAGTACGACATTTGTTTGATGTGATCTATGACGATTTTACATGATGTGAGTAAAGGTCAAAGGGTAATTGTTAGAATGAAGGAATTTAAGTAATTTGACTTATTTTGGTTTAATTTTCTTGCTTCATATGCCTATAAGAGATTTGGATAGAATATTATGACATTATTTAATATATATATATATAGCCATGGTTTTAAAAAACGGTTGCGGATCGCATAATTCGGTTGGTACAAGTGTCGTGACACTGATTGCGGTGTGAATTAACCACAATTTGTTCTTTAATATAATAACGGTAAATAACGGTATCCATATTGGTAGCACTTACGCGGTCGCAGACTGTTTTTTAAAACCTATAGCCAACACACATAGTGGGATAAGGCTTTGTATGCATATAAGAGAAGATTCACCATCAATCTGATTTATGAGCTGTTGTATGTTCAGGAAGATATTTTTCAGTCAGTTGGTGTTCCTTTGGTTCGAAATGCTTTAGCTGGTTACAACACTTCAATTCTGTCATATGGCCAGGTACATATTGATGCAATACTTGTTGTACTTTTGAATTTTGCAGCACTTTTTATGGAATATTGAGGTTAACCTTACTTGCATTGTACTTCTGTTTAGTCTGGAAGCGGAAAGACTTATACAATGTGGGGTCCACCGAGTTCCATGGCTGAGGATCCTTCGTGTCTTAGTCCTCAAGGAATTGTTCCTCGGATCTTCCAAATGTTATTTTCTGAGCTTGAAAGAGTATGTTCTACTTCATACGATAATTGTCATAACTTTAGTAAATATCTGCATTATGGTTTTTGAATTTTGACTGTTTGCTTTGAATTGCTAAATTAGGAGAGACTTGTGTCTGACCAGAAACAGTTCAGCTATAAATGCCGTTGTTCTTTTCTTGAGGTAAATTTGAACTTGGACTTCTTTGTAAAGCTTCTCAATGTAGCAGTGAGCTTGTCCGTTAGAGTTGTTAACGCATTTTGTCTTGCTACGTTCTTTCCGTGTTTTGTAACAGATATACGACGAGCAAATTGGGAATTTACTCAATCCAAACCAGAAGAACCTTGAGGTAGGTCTATACTCCTATCATTTGTGGTACGATTTTACAACATAACATTTTCTACTTCTGTTTTAAGTGCTGCATGTTTATTATAATAACTGTTTCGTCCATATTATATCACAGATGAAAGATGACCCCAAAAATGGACTATATGTTGAGAATCTGATTGAGGAATATGTCACATGCTACGATGATGTGGCTCAAATTCTGATCAAGGTAGAGAAGTATCCAAGCATATACTGTTGAAAATCAGATTTCTGTATGCTATTTATAAGAAGCTGAATACTTGTTTTTGTCAACTGATATTTTTGTCAAGCAATTTTATGCATTTCTCCATAATGTCTGTGTTTTCTTGTAACTTATTTGTTCAAATCTTGATCAGCTATAATCATTTGTGCTGCAGGCCCTGTCGAGCAGAAAAATCGGAGCATCAAGCTTAAATTCTAATAGCTCTAGATCACATATCATTTTCACTTTTGTCATTGAGTCTTTGTGTAAGGTAATGCCATATTTTATAACTGCTCCACCTAACATTTCTACTATTAGTGTGGAAAAAGAAACTATGATTATGACGCTAAATATGACTTTCATTAACTGACGCTTCAGGGGAACACAAAGGGTTGCAGTAGTTTAAAAGCTAGCCGAATCAGCCTTATTGATCTTGCCGGATTGGATAGGGATAGAATTGACAATGGAAGCAGCCAATGTCAATGGGAAAACAAACATATAGAGAAATCATTATCTCAGCTTGGGTAAGATGCCTTGACAAAGACATTGTTTGGATAAATAACTTAAGAGTTTATAGCATAATCGCTTATCATATAAGTGCTTATGTATAAGTTGTTTCTATAACAAAAGATAAAATAAAGTGTAACTGATTTCATATAAGTTGTTTTTATTAGCTATTATGGAGAGCTTATGAAAATAAGGTGAAAACAACTTATGGACTTGTCATAAGCTCTACCAAATAGTCTCACAAGTGCTTATGCCAATACATAAACTCAAAGAACTCAATCGAAACAGGGCCCTAAATAAATTCTTAGTTCAAATTTATATATCTTCTACTACAACTTGTTTGGATAGGTTTTTCAATAGGTTGAAACACACAAGTAACTTATTTTCTTCTTATTTTACTATGTCAAACTGTTGTTACTCGGCTATAATTCCATTTATTAGTCACATTTTTTCTTCATCATTGAAGAGCAGTGTAATTAGTTGCTTCCATCACCCGTTAATTACCAAGCCCGTGACCATAATTGTTTTCTGTTTTTAACGACTATTATGTTTCATTGGTGTAGGAATTTAGTGGATGCTCTTACCGACAAATCTCAGCCTGGTGAAGACATTCCACACAGTAACTCTTGTTTTACTCGGTTGTTACAAGAATCACTTGGTGAAAATGCCAAACTCTCAGTAATATGTTCAATCTCCTCTGATAGCAAGTACTACCTCACTCTATCCCTTTTTATAAGTACCTTTGGCACTTTCCACATATATGAAGAAAAATTACGAGTGTAATTAATGCGTGTATTGTGTATAACTATTATTAAATTATCCTGCGTATACATGTGTTAAATTCCGACTTTCCATTTTCCAAGATATTTTGGTGGTATCAATAAGAGGAATATTTGGAAAAAGCTATTAAATGTATCTATAGAGTAATAAAAACGTGTTAAGTTCTAGAGATAAAGATTCAATTTTGTTTGTTTGTAGGAGCTTTGATGAAACACTCTGCACACTCAGATTTGGGGAGCAAGTAAGATCCATTAGAAACAAGCCAAGTATTAATATAATAAAGGAGGCCGATGATTTGAGTGGTAAAATCCGGCACTTGAAGGTAAACTCCCAGGCTTTTCACTTGAAACAATTTTAGAAGGATTAGACTGATGCAATCTTTGGATTACAATGTGTTTTCTTTGGTTCAGGAAGAACTTATTAGAGCAAAGGTCAATGATGTTCATAGCTCAGTTGTGAGTAAAAATAATGGATGCTTCCAAGGACAGAATGCGCGAGAGAGCCTTAATCAGTTGAGAGTCAGCTTAAACCGTTCTCTACTCCTGTCTAACTTAGATAGTAATACTGATGAAGCTGCAAATGTCAATGAGGATGACATAAGGAAATTACACCAGCAATTTGATGAATTAGACAGTTCATGTGAATGGAATGCAAAAGACATATCTGTATCCGAAGATGGTGTTCAGTTTTATTCTTTTGATGAATATTATGATGAAGACACAACCATGGCGGATGAAAATTCTGTTGGTGATAGCATTTCAGCCATTTCATGCAGTAAATCTCCAATACTTGACGAACCACCACTGTCTGAGTCTCCAAAATTCAGCAATTCCAAAAGGAAAAGTGTAGCTATTTCATCGAGTTATCTGGGAAGTAGGAACACTGTTGAAGAGAGTTCAGCATTTGGGGATGATGTTTTAGGAAAATCACTGAAACATGGTGAGCATAAGCGAGCCTCGTTGCAGTCGAGCAAAGCTGATTTCTTGGCAGAGAGCCTCCAGAGGGGATTACAGATAATTGACTATCACCAACAGAACTCGACATTAAACAAATCTTCAAGTTCCTTCTCCTTTGGCCGCTTAACTTTGACACCATGTCCAGAAATTGATAAGGTTCAACCTTATGATCAAACAATACAACAGAAAGTTTCCAATGATGAAGTAACTTCCACATTCCTTTGTGCGTCTTGTAGTACAGATTTGACAGATAAAGTTCCAAAAGTATGTTTCAATTTAACCTCCACTTATATATCTTTTAAAAGTAATATTTATTGACTTCATTTCTCCTTTTTCTCGCTCTTACAGAACTCGGAAAATGTAATGGCAAAAGGCAACATGAGAGAGAAGGAGCTCGAGAATGTTTGTAAGGAGCAAGCAGCTAGAATCGAACAACTAAATCAATTGGTATTAAGATTCTGCCTTCCTGAATTATGTTTGTGGTTGGTTTTTACATTTACCGACAATGTGGATTTGTCTCCAGGTGGGGAAATTAAAAGGAGAGAAAAGTCTGAGTTCCATTAAAGATGAAAACAAGGTCAATTGTTGGTCTTAACTTTTACTTTATGCAATCAAAATCTATCCAGATGACAGTTTGTTCTGATTTGTTTTTTATGTTATTTGCAGCTTCTGTGGGGCACTTCCTCAAATGTTCATTCACTGTATAGTATAGAGGAAAAATGTGAAATTAAAGAAGTCCAAGAAGAGTTAGCTCAGAGAGACACCTTTTTTGATTTAACTGAAAAGGAATCACTTCTTCATGAAATCCAGATTCTAAGAAGAAAGCTGCAAGTATGCAATGATGCACCAGTCAAAATGTCTACAGATAAACTTAGATCTTCTTTAATGTCAAGATCCATCCAACTGCAAAAAAGTGGCGTATTTTCTCAAGATAATAGGAACGAGGAGCTGGAAAACGAAAGACAGAGATGGACAGAAATGGAAAGTGATTGGATTTGTCTTACTGATGAACTTAGAGCTGACCTTGAGTCGTATTGCCAGCATGCAGAGAAATTGGAAATCGAACTGAATTTGGAGAAGAAAGGCAGAGAAGAGATGGACGATGCACTAAAAAGAGCTGTTAACGGGCATGGTAGAATGGTAGAACACTATACTGATCTACAAGAAAAATATGATGACTTGGCTTCTAAGCATGATGCTATGAAGGAAGGGATATCAGAGGTGAAGAAGGCAGTCGCAAAAGCCTCGAAAAAAGGTCAAGCACGCTTTGCCAAATCTCTTTCTGCCGAGCTTTCCGCATTGAGGATGGAGAGGGAAAGGGAGTCGAAATTATTGAAAAAGGAGAACCAGTGTTTGAAAATTCAACTTCGAGACACTGCTGAAGCTGTTCAGGCTGCCGGGGAACTACTTGTTAGACTAAGAGAAGCTGAACAGGCAGCATATGTTGCTGAGGTACTATTTTACCTTGCAAAAAGGATCTTCAATCTATGCATCACAATATGCTTCTGATTCATTATTTTTAGTCATTACATTTCTTATGTTACACAGGAAAACTTTGCAAATGTGCGACGTGATAACGAAGAGTTAAAAATGGAAGTGGAGAAGCTGAATAGAAAACACAAGACAGAGATTAATACCATAAAGCAGTATATTACAGAGAGCAAATTGCCAGAGTCTGCATTGAAGCCACTGTATCAAGAGGATTCTGATACAATACACAATAATACAACTTCTTCCTATGCTTATGATGATCAAGCATGGAAATCAGAGTTCGGAGCAATATATCAGGAGCATTACTAATTCAGAGTTCGGAGTAAAACCACCTGTTTGTCTGGAAGTTGATCCTACTTGGATCGACAGGAACCCGTAGAAGCAATTTTTAGATATTTTTTCAAGCTGTGATCTATCAATCAAGACTTGGTCTATGGGATGTATAATTCTTTGTGTGCTTGTATACTAATAATAATAGGTAATATAGTAAGTACCATTGAATTCTTGTTTTTACCACCTTGAATTTTCTTGTGTAAGTAAAGCTCCTCATGCCTTCTTATTAGAAATGCTACAACTACAAGATGTCAACAGAAAGATCTGAAAAGTTGCATAAGTCATATCTAATCATGTCATTCATTCTTCTACTATCTTGTCTCCTCCTCTTTGTCTTTGTTGCAATGAAGATAGATTTTGAAACATATGCCTTTGCCTTAGTCGAAGCATTAAAAAAGCAAATAAATCACAAGGAATTTTATTTTCTGTCCTTATTTCAAATTAAAAGGAACATTTCAATTTTTATTTTATTTTTTATTTTTGATAAGCAGGAACATTTCAATTTATGATTAAGAAATTATCATAACATGATGAAAACATTATTTATTACAAACGAATAAAATATCAAAAAGCAAAATGTCTGGAATCACTCATTTGTTGAAAGGTCTCAAAATGCTCTTTATTTGAGAATTGAAACGCCAAAGGGAAACTTAAATATGCAAAGTCATATCACACTGAAGCGTCATGAGATCCTAATCTAACTAATGTTGATTTGATGCCTTTTCTCTGACATTTTACTAGTTACAATATTTACGGTTAATAATTACAACTTAAGGAGAATAAATCAATTTTAGATTTGTCTCTTATTTTTCCAACATGTTTTAAAAAAAATGATAAATATTTCTGTTATACGATGCCACCCCCATTTTATATGATTCCCATTTCACGAAAATACTGGAAATTTCGTTGATTTTACAAATTTGACAAAATACTCATTTTGGTCCCTTAACTATACCCTTGGATTTATATTGGTCCCTTAACTTTTTTTTTTGTGTCATTTTGGTCCCTTAACTTTCAAAAAGTTTCATTTTAGTCATTTTTGTCTAAATTCGTAGCTAATTAGACGGAAAAACTTTAAAATCAGCCGCTAAATTCATAGTTAATTAGACAAAAAAGACTAAAATGAAACATTTTGAAAGTTAAGGGACCAAAATGACACGAAAAAAAGTTAAGAGACCAATGTGAATTAAGGGACCAAAATGAGTATTTTGCCTACAAATTTTTACAGTGCCATATGAATTTAACCGGAAATTTAAAATATTCGGTATCAAAAATTTCAAAATTTCGAAATATGTCATCGTTATAAGAAACCGGAAATTTGAAATTTCCAGTGTGGAAAAAATCAGAAATTTAAAATTTTCGATAGTACTGGAACTTTTTTTTTTTAAACTTTTACTTGAATAAAATACAAATAAAATACATAGTGAAATAGCAAACCGACTTAATATATAAATGGAATAAATGTCATACATATATGTATTAAAAAAACTACAATAACTTCCTAGAGAATTCTTCCCAATGTCTGAGACGACCCACATATGCTGATTCTCATGCTTTTGCATCATTAGAACAATCCTCCTTCCAGCGAGAAGTGACGGAAGGTAGTGGACAATCGGGTTTCAATTTTAGCTGAACCCAATGATTTTCGTTGACAAAACCAACAACAATGATTGTATGCCAACTCGTGTACGGGGGTGGAGCTATGAAAAGTGGAGAAAATGTTATTTGACTTCCAATTGGTTTTGTGCGTGAACTCTTTGTAGTCTGACTCTCCTGCGAAGCTGCATCATATTTCCATTGGCTAGGATCACGATGCACATCACTCTCCTCACCCTTTCTACTTTTCTTAACTCTCCTCTTTGGCTTGTATTTCACCGGCGGTGGACACATTGAAGTTGTGGATGGATAAGTTAGATCACAGACTTTTTTCTTCAACATCCTGTGATCCATAATATCCAAAGTACTGAAATATCTCTTCAACTCTTCACACCATTCTTCTAAATCTCACTTACTCTCATTAGGAGTCACATCATGTTCTGGAATGTGAAATTTTGTCCAAAATACATGAATTGATTCCAAAGGTATATGTGTGCCTAAAATTTGGAAACCGGCAAGCTGACAAGCACACGGTAACTCACGTGTTGTTCTAATGTAACAACCACACCTCTCCTTGCTTGCACCCACACATTTCACCTTTTCTAGTTCCTTTTCAATGAGTTGTATACATTGTCTTGAAACAAAACTGTGCAATTTAGAATAGAAAGAGGTGTTATACCGATGCTCAATATTGACAATACTTTTTTGAAACGACACTCTAATGGAACCTAGTTGCAACTTTAATATTGTGTTCGCAGCATTCTAACTTCGATGTAAATCACAATAACTTGTAGTCAACAAGTTGTTTAGTCTCCAATGTGTAGACTCCATCCTAAAAATCATGAACATATTATCTAAACAACTTTCAAATTAATATCTAAACATAAACATATTTTATGTTAGTCTAATGTATCGATTTGTTATTGTATTTCCTAAATGAGTGACTCTGTTAGTCTATGCAGCAACAAATCTTTTCTTATATGGTGTTAATCATGTTTCATTCACATACTTGACAAATGATGTAATATAATCAAAAACACTCTCGAAGTGGTTGAAATGTACATTAAACTCGTCTTTTGTATTTGAATACATGATGTTGTTCCATTGATCCATGACATGTTATTGTCTTTCGGATTTCACATACTCTTTACATTTCATGCTCATGTTTTTTGAAATATGAAACATACACAACATATGAGTTGCACTTGGAAACACATAATCAATGACATTCATTAACGCAAGTTCCCGGTCCGTCACCACAACATTCAGAAGCAATTTCTCTGAATAGAACAACTTTTTGAGCTTCTGTAGTGCCCATGTGAAGTTCTCCTCCCTTTAATATTCTAAATAAGCAAAAGCAACTAAAAACATCAATTTTGTTGATGTAACACCAACAATCTCCAACAATGGTAGTCGGTACCTGTATAATTAAAATGCACATAAACAACCATGTCACTTAATCGTATTTTTGAATGAGAGAAGTAAAATTCTTATGTATTTGTCTTGTATGTGAAATCAAATATTAACACCATATGAAACATATTCAACAACTTCACATAATCAAGATGTGTCCAGAAGATATCACCCACAATATTTGAATTCTCTCTATTTCTAGTCCAACACATGTATTTCTCTTGATGAATAAGGCTCAATAACACTTGCATTTCTGTCATTATACCTCTCTTGCCAATTATGTATGTTGCTCTAGCTCAGTATGCCTGGGTAATACTCGTGAGATTTTTTGGGTCTTTGTCTTTTAAAGCAGACACGATGTACCTTGGTGCCATGTTGTACTTCGTCATGTCATTAACAAACTTTCTTTCATGATCTTTTAGACAATCTAATATTTCATGGCCTTCCAAATCCTTATCTAATCTATGATGTGCAAACCGCATCTAGCCATCACCTTCCAACCGATACCACTTGGAACAGGTCTCAACCTAAATGGGCATCTAACCTTCATAGTGTAGTTTCCATCAGAAGGCTTCCTCGATTCATTTTTCTTTTTATAATTTCCCCCTCTGTCACAACCAATAATCAATTTATCCTTCCTCTCTTGCAGTCCATTGGTAAAATCGAACTGAATTGTAACAACAACAATACCATGATTTTTACCAATAGACTATGCCCATTCAAGAACTTTAGCTCGTGATTCAAAAACCTAACAATTACAACAACATATAATTAGTAAACTTTATCAATTTACAAAAAACAAATAAAAATGTGTAAATTAAATAAGAACCATACCATATCTCTGATGAAGAACTGTGTAAGATCAATGCACAAATTCGTAGAAGAAGCTGACGCTGCTGGTCAGGACCGCAAAGGTATAAAATTTCATCTGCAGACATACCGGAAATTTCAAGTATAACTGAAATTTCTGATTTACGTTTTCTACCAGAAATTTGCGTAATTTTTGGTACGTGTGCTAGCTTTTGAAAATTGACCAGAAATTATGAAATTTCCAGTGAATCACAACCGGAAATTTTGAAATTTCCGATTAATCGCTACCGAAAATTTGTAGAATGTAAAGAATTCCTGGTAAGCAACCAAAATCAGCACCAAAAATTTGCTTAGCGTACCAGCAATTTCGTTTTTTAATTACTTTGATCAATGGTGATTTTTTTCCGACAATAGTAAAAAATTTAGAATAAATAGTAAAAGGGCTATTTTGGGAATAAAGAAAATTGGGAGGTGACATGTATAAAAAAATGGGTGGTAAATTAATTTCTCCCATTATATTATTTACTTAAATTATTTACTGATTGACATCCTTCAAATTGATACAATTTGTTAAAGAGTATCACTATCAATTTGCTAACATTAGATTATTTGTACACAAAGTAACAAGTAAAATCCTTGATTTATGCTTATATTGAATTTGTCTTGTATTTTGAAATTGATCTTGATTTATTGTTTGAATATACTGCCTCTATAACGAATTATAAACAAATTTGACTTTTTAAATATATTTGACAATTTAATTGTCAAATGTACCAAAAAAGTCAAATTTGCTTATAATTCGTTACGAAGGGAGTAATAAGTTTGATGTAATCAAAACTAATAAGAAAGGATCAAAACCAAGTTAAATAGTGAAAGAGACCTAGCACATTGAAGATCAAAGTTAGGACAAAATTGATGGGCGAGTAAACCTTGACCACCGAATCTGAGACAAAAAATTGGGTTTGCCAAACAGAGCATATTTACTCAATAGATTTTGGCTCGCCCAACAGATTTGACACAACAGTAAGACAGTTTAAAGGTTTCTATGGTACAAAGCAAGCTCAATTCACTGAGCGAAGGATGGCTCACTCACTCAATGAATATAAGGTAGATCAGAACTCTATATATATGGGCATAAGTAGTCATTTATAAATTAT